GTCATAGGAAACACTTTTAGTAGTTGTTTTCTTTAGCATGTATGTGGGGGGTTGCTACTAACAACATTTAGCTGTGTTTCTCCCTCAGCAGCCTGTTGGGCATCTTTTCCTTCGGCTCCGCCCAACCACAATTTCTTCACTCTCGGTATTGCCAGCCTGTAAATTCATTTTATTTTAAGGCCCTTGGCAGTGCTGGGCTTGCTGTTTGCCTGCATCATCTTTCAGCTACGGTGGTTTGTGAGGGCTCGCAGCTGTTGCACCAGCATCTGGGATTTCTGCGGCTGCGCTGGAAATATCTCCTGCCTGTGTGTCCGACGAGCAGGGGGACACCTCAGCGCTTTGGCAGATTCTGTGTTGGGCTTGCTCACCCTGTCATGATTAGGTAGCCCACCACAAGTTTCTGTTACCCAATGTGAAAAGGTCTGCCATGTGTTTCCTGCAGGCAAGTTAGCATGTCCTGGAAGATGATGGGGCTTTAGCATTTCACAAGTAAACAAGTAAAGCTGTGAGTAAATTAGACACTTCAGAATGACTTCATTTTTTACTTTTATACCAAGCCAAAACAACAAATATCTTGCCCTATGTTATACTTTGCTCCTTCAGTATGCCTTAATTGACTCTTCAGGCTATGGTTATAGAACCACAAAGCCTTCTTTCCTCAAAGGAATAAAGATATCCCTATCATCCATAACTCTTAATTCTTCTGGAATGCTGCCAGTAACAGAAACACACATTTTTCTTTGGTCTCTGACCATTTCCAGCAACACAGATGATTAGAGATCATTGACAAGTCCTGACTTTGCATGTTTGTGTCTCTGCGAAAAATAGAGGAAAATATCATAACATATCTTTGTGATGTTTGCGGCTTAAAATAGATAAATCTTGGAGTAGAAGCAGAAAGAGAACAAACTTTTAGGCTGACCACAGCAAAGTGGGAATTCAGCTGAAAAAGTGCCTTATTTAAGGATCCTGGGAGCTGAAATGGGAGGTGGTGATGCTGCAGGGTACCTTGGAAGGCAGTGAGACTGGGATCCGTTCTTGAAACAGTTGCTGCAGATTATCTGCTGACTCTGACAGATGATACTTGCTCCCTGTGCATTTTCAAGATGGCAGGATCCTGCAAACAGTAGCGTAACCCTTTATAAGGCTGGTCGTTCAGAGTATGATTCCTCAGCAGTGAGCAAAAGCTCACTTCTCTCAGGACTTGTAAGCAGTCCCGTAGGGATGGAGGGGGCTCCATGGTCAGCTGGGTAGAAGAAAGTGGGAGGAACTGGAGCTTAGAAGGATTTTATGGAAGGTTTTCTTTTAGTGATTCTTTGCAGTGGTCTCAAGGAAGTTCCCTTAATATAGAAATACAGTGTCTCCTTACAAACCTGTTTTTCAGAGAGTCTCAGAAAAGATTGAATGTGTGTACTTGAAAATAAATGAATGGCAAGACATTTTTATCAGGCTTCTTAGAGCATTTAAATGGAGGTATCCTACAATAAAGTCTTAAGCTTAAATTCCTTCCAAACTTGCTGTATTTGAGTGTAATGACAGAATTTTGGAAAAAGAACTGGGCTAAAACATACTGGCAATTAGACTTCAATTAAAATTGGATGAGATGACATATAGGACCAGTGAGCAGATATGTCAAGCAGGGAAACGGTGTTTTTTGCAAGAGTGTAGGAGGGGTGATGCTGCAAGACAGAAATCTCAGTTAACATAGCAGCTGGGAAAACAATGCTTCTGTTCAAGAAATAAACTGAATGCCTCCATTGAAAATCTCCATTTTGAAAGGAATTAATACACCCTTACCAGTAGTGTGCAGAGAACGTAGTATGAACTTTTATGTTCAATTTTCACCTTTCAGTGCTTGGTCACTTTTTCTGTTTTTCCTTGATACCAACTTTTCAGATGAGACTTTTATTAAATTGGCAAGAGAGAATAAAACTGAGCTTTCCTTTTGCGTTTCTTACTGTCTTGTGCTCTTCTTTCTGTAGAGAAATGTTGGGAAAAGGTGTTTTTATCTAACTTAGCTGCTGCATCTCCATTGGCATCGCAATGACTTTTCCTTGTAGACCAGGCAAAGATTTCCCTGCCGGGAGAGGAAAGCACAATGAGGAATTCTGCCTGCTCAAGAGAAGTTGCCACGTTTCTGTTGTACTGGGCAGCTGCATCAGTGACATAGTTAAAATAATCTGATTTTCAAGGGCTGTCACAATTTTCACTTGACTTCCTTTTTCTGAATTAACCAATGTAAGTATTTGAGTGACTGATAGGGCCACGAACCAAGCAAGGCTTGCCAAACTGTGTTTTTGGCCAGTTTGGGATTCCCAGAAGCTGTTCTGTTCCAAGCCAGAACCTATTTTGGTTTCTCACTGTTGGATGTTTTGTGGCAGATCTGAGCAAGTGCTTCCTAAACAGCTGCTCATACAAGAGCTACTGTGTATGGACAGACCAGAGTCAGTACTGTAAGTGTGTGACCCCTGACTAGTGTTTCAGTCACCCGTTCAAGAAAGGGAGAAATGCCAAACTAAAAATAGCAAGTCCAAGGCCCAGGATAAGTGTTTTCAGTCACCTATATAATGAACTCTTTTGAAAACTTGTTCTTAAAACACAGAATACTAAGAAATTCATTTGCTGAAAAAATCTGCGTAGTGTATGTATGCATTTTATTCCTTTTACAAAAGCCCCTTTGGCAGCTAATTAGAGGAAGGTTACTCCTGTTGATTCTTTGCAAATTACTTCCTTAGCTCTCGTACAGTTAAACAAAAAATCTGGGAGGGAAAAAGCCTTCAACAGAATCGGTGAGAGGAAGAGTGAAAGGGTCTGTTATTTATTCTCGCTGGCTGAGGTGCCTGCAGAAGCCTCCAGTGCTGTTTATGGAATTGCCGGCTGCATCCATCCGTGCAGAGCTACCTCCCTGCTGCTGACGGGAGAAGGCAGCCAGCGAAATGTGGCAGCCAGCCCGTGCCGGCTGCGAGGGCATATAAGTAAAAAGGCACGGCCTTCTGAAGGAGAACAGAAAGCCTTCCTCCCAGCCAAGAAAACTTGACAGGTGTGGTAGCGACCAACAGTAGGCAGTGTGTCTGCTAGACAAGCCCAGCCTCAGCTGAAATGGCAGAGTTTGAAGTGCAATAAAACTCCAGTTTAGCTCTCTTAGCACATTATTCTCTCAAAAGCAGCTTTGTGGCCCTGCTAGCGAGCGGAAAAGAGAACTGCAGAAAGAGGGGACCAAGGTTTCTTCTTATGCAGACAAGGTTTTTGGCTGAGGTCACCACCGCATTCCCTCATATGGTCTGCATAAACACAGAAGTGTCCCTGACAGTGGCAGTCACACTGATGCTGAAGTATAGATTGAATTTGGATGGCTCATTAACCATTACTGATTAAAGAGAGCCCCTGTCACACACACCCTGACCTCCATTTGGGTGTAGGTAAGCCTGCATAGAGATAACACGCCTTGTGTCGGCACAGCTGGGTGGCACAGGGGGAGTTTAGACGTGCCATGCAGCACCTGCCGGCGGTGTGTCAGAGCGCAGGCATGGCAGAGCGGCCGTACTTCGTGTGGCGCCACTTCTGAAATTCTGTAGCTGCACAGCCTCTATGTTACGAGCTCTCCTCTGAAACTGGCCTTGCCTCCCTTCACTTGGGTGAATGGCTTGGTGGTACTTGTGCTTGTCTGGCCATGCTCGGCCTCCTCTTCCCCTCTTCCAGCTGGCCTGTGAGGCGCTGCGGGGACTGGCAGCCATCTTACATCTCCTGTACCCCTTGCACAGGGTAACGTGGTGTACGTGCTAACCGTGTTCTGAGGTGGCACCTAAGCAGCTGACTTAAATTTAGCTTTTGGGCAGCCTGTAGCCTAGATAAGGACTTTGTCCAGAGGAAACCATGGTGCATTCCCACTGTCTTTTTGCCCTCTTGCCCTTTCATTGAAAGGAAGGCAAAACTGCAATGGCATCCATAAAGGCAGCAGCTGCTGCTGTGCGCGGTGTCAATGCAGGCCGGCTTGTTTTCTGGGGGAGGGTGAAGATATTCAGGGAGGCTGCATGGGGGCGAGAGGCCTTGCTCAGGATGTGGAGGTCCTTTCCCTATCCTCTTTCACAGAGGCTTGCCCATAAAGGGAGCTTTCATAGGAATTGCATTGAGGGATGTTATTCATACCTCTGCCCGTAACCGTGATCCCCCCACACTGACAGGGGCAACTCCAGTTGAAGCGAGAGCACAACTGAGTTGCTTCTTTTTGCATCACTGAAGCACCAGGGTTGTGGTGTTGCTATTTCGGTATACTGGTGCTCTATATTATAATAAAAATGTGGGCTGCGGGGTGTCGCTTTAGAGGTGCTGGCTCTTTGGATAGAACTTGTGATTGGAATAGCATCTGCCCAGTTTGTCAGCTCCGCAGTCACTTGAGGCCCAGGAGGAGAGGACAATCTGTGGCAGTGCTAGCTCAAAACAAACAACAGCCGCGTGCAGTGGCGGAGGGAAGGGACAGAGCCAGCTTGGATAATGAGACGGAAGAACTTGGCTTGAGTTGGCTCTCCTCCCCTGCTTGGTGAAGATATCAGTTGTTGTTAATTGGTTTAATGAGGTTCACAACCAGAATTTTAAATGTTTTGCGTGTGCTGTATAGCCATTGCCCTGCAAATATATCTTTCATTTCCATTTGAATTTTGAAACTACAGCTGTACCTAACTCCTGGCAGACACACAGACATTAAGATCCCCTCATACTTAAGTGATTCCCAGATGTTGTTTAAATTTGATTTTCACCATGTTTTTTCTTTATAATTGTTTGTAAATAAGGAAGGTAGAGCTGTTCTTGGCTATTGGTAAGTAACACATAGAGGATGCGTGTCCGGTTTGCCCAGGATGATACCTTTATACCGGGGTTGTCCTGTTTGCCATCATTCCGACCTGAATGATGCCTCACACCACCCAAAACCTACCCCCAGACCTGTGACCTTCATGTTTTATCCTTGCCAAGCAGCTTGCAAGAGAGTACTGGATGATGTGATGTTTTTTTCAGCTGATATAACTTGTATAGAGCACGTCCCTGTTGCATGACTGCATCCCTTTGCATTCTAAAAATTCTGGTCCCAGAAAGTCCCTGTTTTCCTCACAGTGCTCAGTTGGTAGCCTTGACTGTCATCTAGTTGTGACAGCCTGAAACCACTTGCCAAGGTTAGCAATTTTTCTTCTCGAGTACATCTCTAAATTTGTCATTGTCAAGGCTGGTTAAATCCCAGCTTGGGTTCTTTCTTGCCTTTAAGGAACATATTTCTCAAACTGGTATACCTGTTTTTATATACACCTGCATAACATGAAATGATTGTGGGGGTGGGTATGGAGGAGGCCAAGCTACTTAGAGGCTGCCCCTATACATCTTCAGCTCTGTGTCTGTCCCTCTGTGTCTTTCTCAGCTAACATTGTTCTTTCTCAGCTACCCTGTTTTTTTAGATTCTTTCTTCAGTAAGGAATTAGTGATCCTGAATATTCAAAATCTGAAAGAGTCATTAAGTAATCATTCTCACAGGATCCCTCTCCTCTGTCTGTTTTGTGTATTTTGCCCAATGAGACCATTTATTTCAGATGCATTCTGGGCTAGTGTTTTTTAACTAGGGATAATGTCTGATCACTGACTTAATTCAGATAAGGTTATTTCTGCAAATCTGTCTCTGTATGTTGAAGTGGATGTGCTGGAAAGGGTGCATTTGCTCATGGTGGGAGAAGGGGAGGAAGGAGAAGGAAGAATTTCTAACCACTCTGCTTCAGTGAGGGCTAAGTGCTGGGATGGACAAGCTCAACCAATCATCCAAGGAGCATTGTGGTATCCATTTCAACTTGTAATCCTGTGCTTTTTCTCACGTGTCTCTGGGGGCAACACACATCTAGGTTGCATACTGATACGGAGCTGGGATATTGTTAGGGTGTACTATAGACCTGGGAACCTGAAAGTGCTCCTTCTTCCTTGGGTTCAGACATTGATCTCCAACAAGTCTTCTCTTTGGGAGTTCCTTGGGTAAAGATGTGCCCTTCCTAAATTTAGCTTCAGGCTTTTTGCCCACTTATCTGCTAAAAAAACCATAGGGTGAATTGGCAGATGCAGACAGGCTTTAGCTAGCTCTTTATTCTCTGAGCCAGCTGGATGTGCATGAGCTTTGGTCTGGAAGTCTGATTTCCATGTTAATGTACTGTGGCACCTGAATGTGAACACTCTGCCAACAGATTTTTTTGGGTTGGTCCTAAAACTGCATGCATGCAGCTGTAATTTCTGGGCCATCCATGCAGTTTGTGCACATAGGGCACAGCAAGCTCAGGTCCAGCTGTTCCTGCTTACGTAGACACTGTCATTGGGCATGTCTGCCCATCCTTCTCATCTAGCTAAATAGCCTTTTCCCACAGCTTTCTGTTATATCGTCTTTATTTTCAGGCACTAGTGATTCCTACATAAGCTCCCCTTTGGCTTCACAGCAATGTGTGGATTCCTCCTTGCAGAGCCTTGTAAGCATTGCTTTTGGCATTGCCCTTGGTTTAACAACTGGAAAACACACTTCTAAAATGCTGAGCTTGTCCAGCTTGAAACCATATGAGCTGAAAATATTAATGGTAGGTACCTGCCTCAGCTGGAATAGCTTGGAAAGACTTTTAGGGAAGAGTTCAGTTACTTAAGATGTTGAGCTGAAGTCAGGAGGAAAAAAAGAACAGTGTTTTACCACACTGTGAGAGCACTTTCAACAGCTTAGTTGAAGCTCTAGTATGACTTACCTTGGAAACATGGGAGAGAGTAGATTTGCTTTGTGTCAGAGATGCCCATGGCCGGTTGCTGAAAGTGTTCTCAGTTTAATCAAGCATCTCCCATTCTCTTTCACAGAAAATTGTCCTGTGCCCTGACTTGTTAAAGTTTGGCAGTAGGCTCCAAGGATGAACAAGCTTTCCAAACAGGGAACTCGGCTGGGCTCTTCTTGCTGTTCTTGGCAGGGAGCTCCGGTCACAGGGCCTGGGAGCTGATTCGCTCCTTCCTCTGCCCCTACTGGTCCTTCCTCTGGCCCTCAGATGGGGAGAAGAGGTACTTGGGAAGCAGGTAGAAGCAACACCCCAACGAACAGAAGCAGAGGAGGTAGGATTTTCCAGGACCCAAACTGTGAGAATAAAAGTTGAGGACTAAGTATTTAACAATAGGAGCAGAGGCAAATGGGTGCTTGAGGACAAAAGTAGACCGCTGTTCTCCAGACCTGAGAACAGAGTCTAGGTCTCAGGAGACATTTTCATGCCCTGCCAGCAACTTCATGGGCCCTTGGGGTGTTTGTAAAGTGTTACCTCCCTCTAGTGGTGTGTCTGCAAGGCCCTGGGCAGTCCTGCTAGCTTCAGGAGCCAAGGGTAGGTCAGATCCACCCTATCGATAACCCCCTGTGCCCCTAACTTGCATGCAGCCATTCATACCATATTAACAACTTGCTTAAGCCATTGCGTTGACTGCTGGGCACTCAGTGCCCCTCTTCTGGCTATTCCACTTGATCCACGTGAGGTCCTGCTTGAAGGCAGGCTCAGCACAGGAGGTTTCTGTAAATAGGGGCAGTGCCATAGGTAAATTATGGTTCACAGAATGGTTTGGGTTGGAGGGGACCTTAAAGATAATCTAATTCCAACCTCGTTGTCTTTAGGTTCTGTCATTAGGTTCTGTCATTAGATCACCATGCTCTGACATTACTGCTGTTAGTATTTTAGGACTGGAGACAACACATGCTCACTTAGTAGTCTGATGTAACCTCTGTGAAGGTTCTTCATCCTATTTGGTGTGCTGAGCCCAGGCATTTCTGAACCTTCTCTTGTGGTCGTTAGCATCCCTTCCTAATCTTCTATTCCTCACACCATTTGATAGACACTAGCAGCTGTTGTGTGTTGCACATGGCTTCATTTTAGCTGTTGTATATTTTTTTTACTCACCATTTAGCCAGGATTAGCTTTAAGTGCAAAATGCCTATGTTTGATTACAGATTTGTAATTTTTGACCACTAAAACTACTCTTTTTGTTCTCAATTTCATCTACTTTCGTCCCAGCTCACAAGTCCCCAAAGACAACTTGAATGCATTGAGAAAAGGAATGCATGGGTTTTTCCTGTGTGTTTCACACACGACTAGATCGTAGCACTCCCTCACCTGTACTAGGTGCAGACTACTCATAATCCCACCAGGATACTCACACAGCCAACACCTACTAGTCCCTGTAATTCATAGCATTATTTATCACCCTGCGGTGTAAGCTGTTATCTTGCACTGGGGCAGTGCCACCCATACCTGCAGGTGGACTTGCTTAGGGCTGACTGGTGTCCAGCAGAAGGTTTTAAAAAACTAGACACTGCTTTTCACACACTAAATGGATACTTGTAGTATAACTGGTCCTGTTTCCCAGTTTGGTCTTCATTCTTTGAAACGCTTACACCAGCCTCCCTCCAGAACTCCAGGAGCAAAGCCTGATTTATTCTCCCTGAAACTTTCAGACACATGGTCTCTCCCCCCTTTTCCTTCACCTGCCTCTTGCTGTGCTTTCTAAGAGTTTGCTTCCAAATTCAATGTACAAATGGTGGCTCTGACTCCGTGGCTGAACTTTCCTTGCTGCACTAAGCTTCTTCTAATTTTCCCAAATTTAAATCTAAAGTGAAAAGCAAACCTGTTTAGTTATCTCCCAGCAATACAGTTGAGAAGATGACGTAGAGTGTATGGGCAGTGATGCTGTGGAATAGCAGGCTAAGTTGAGAGCTGGGTTTTTAAGTTTAACCATAGAGCAGGTATTGCCCCTGAAATTTTAAAGCCTCAAATCCATGTTCAATTAATAAATACTTGTAAGGATTTCAGACCTGCTGGTGCTGTGCCTCTTGCAAAACACAGCCTCATGGCTTACGTGGTTTGGGAGGCTCAGACCTGTTTGTTGGCCTCGCTGGGGAGTGCTCACCTGTTGTTCCATCCGCTCTTTGGGGTAGTGTCAACCTCTGCCAGAGGCCAAATTGCAAACAGTTGGGACGGTTTTAATGTCTCAAACTGCCGCAGCTATTTACTAATTAATGCACGTCTGTGCCCCAAGGTCTTTTGCCTGCAAAGAATTCATGCAATTTAAGCAACCACGAGTCTGTCACCCAATGCAAGGTTGAATTTAAGTTGCATTAAATAGCACAAAAGTTAACTTTGGTGATATTTTTGGACTTCTGAATATTCAAGTGGGAGTCAGCTCGTGTCCCGTGTCCTGCCTACATTGTGAAAGCAGGCTGGAGAGGTGCTTAAACGGAGAGTGTCCATCCTCTCCCTCCCCCAGCTGCTTCAAATGGTGCGTGTTTGCACCCCCAGCCCCGTACCTCTTTCAGCTTTTCAGGGGGCTGCCCCCCGTTGGCATGCTGTTTGTGGTTTCTTCTTATGGCACTGAGAAGCCCCTTGAAATGCCCCCATTCTGCTATGCACAGCCCCTTTTGGGCTTGCCTGATCTAAGCTGGATTTGGCTGCTTATTTGAGGTAGGATCAGCTGCATTTATCCCATGGGTAAAGTCATGCACCCAGGAGAGACAACTGCTTCTCCCTGTCCTCTGCCACTACAGCGGTCAGGCTGCTGACCTCAACACGTAAAAATCTGAGCTCCTGCCTGCTCAGTGTTTCAGAAGAGAAAAAAGGCTTTTATGATGCCCCTGTGTTTGTTCAGCCAAAAATAGGAGCAGGAGTTACCTTTTAAGCTTGCCCCCCTCTGCTTGGCTTTGTGTCAGCGTTTAAATCTGCTGTGAAGTGTTGAAGATGTGTGTAACATATCACAGATGGTGCCACTGAATCAAATGCCGGTGTATCGGACAGAATTACATCCCCCCATTCCTAAAGTATTCCTAAGCTGTCCTGTTAAGGCTTTCCTTGATGCAGAAGAGCTGTGCTTGCTCTTACACCAAAACTTCAGGGAATTACTGATAATGCTGCCCTGTGGACTGGTGGCTGCTTTTAAGTGAGCCCAGCTGACACAGCAGTGGGTGCTAACTCAGGGCTGGGTGACCGTCATTTCCAGGCCATCATTTCCAGGAGGAGATAACGTGCAGCAGCATCTCAGACCCTGGGGAGCCCTGGTGATAGCATGGGTGTCAGGGATGGGAAATACTCGGCCAGAGGAGGAAGGATTAGGCTGCTTAGGAATATTTGAGGCTGCTGCTGGCTAGGGTGGAACCATGGGACTCAAGTGTCAGTGGTCAAAACAGTGCTTAAAAATGGTTTAAAAAAGGATCTGGAGTATCATCTGTTCATGGGACCATAAATGCCTGCTGGCTGGATGTGTTAAGCAAGCTTTGGTGTCCTGGTGGGCTCCTCGCTCATGGGGCCACTAACACTAATCTTTCAGGAGCTCTCAGCTTCAATGAAGTGTGATCACAATAAAGCTTTATATACCTTCTAGGGACTTCCCCCTCGCTCTTGTCTTTCTACATCATTCCAGTTTGGCAGAATGCAGCAGGCAAGAGTTCATAATGTGAATCTGACCAAAATTGAGCATGCTGGCCAGCTCATCTGGGTGGAGACAGACGCACGGTCAGCGTTTGTGCAGGTCTGTGGACGCGTATTTTGATAGGTGTCTGCAGTATTAGTGATACCTCCAGACTCCCTGCCTTAATAGTATTTATAGTAAGCTGCTCAGATAAAGCGTTCAGGAGGTTTGCTGTCTGCGTGGTGAATTTCTGGTTCTTGGTGTGATACGGGAATTAGCATGGGGTTGGGGTAGTAAGCGACGAAGTGCATGCTCCGCCGTTGTGGATTAATCTTTATCCCTTCCCGTTCTGATTGCTTTTACTAAATGCCTTTGTGGTCGGGAACTTTCTTTTCTCTCCCCTTCCCCCCATTGTTCAAATCCCCTCATTACCAGAGTGCCTTACAGTAGCTAGGACTTTTTATGATTCATCTCAGCAAATGCCCACACTTCCCTCCTGACTAAAACACAAGCTGCAAAAGAGCGAACGTGCTAATTGGGCATAGGACGTGCTTCATATTTGCTTATTCATTGCATCCAGCAGTCTGCACGTCTGCTCGGTCATGTTCCTGCACGTTTTCCTCCCAAGGTGGGGAGCGGGGAACTTCAAATCATCCTTGGTGTGTCCCCACTCCTCCCACCCGGACAGACCAGCTGGCAGTTCAGCTGGAGCTTCTGAGTGCAGTAGTTGTTTGGCACTTCGGTGGGGGTACTGTACCTTCATTAGATAACTGTTTGAACTCTTTTTTTTTACCTAGTAGAGGACTAGTTCTGGTATCACCCCCAGTGGCTGGTATTGAAGCTGTTATGCTATGTCATAGGTGGTAAAATTGTTTGGAAGTTTGATGTTTACCGTGTTTTTGTCAAAATGCTTCCTTAAGGGATCTTTAAAAGCATCTGTGGGGTTCAGGAGAGCAGCTGCCTCTATGGATAGCGGTCTGGGTGCTTCCTCGTGACTCGTGACCCTCCCCTTTGGCTGCTGCCAGGTCCCTGTCATTGCTCAGGAGGTGCCGAGGCGATGCGGTGCTAGCAAGCTGATAGCAGTGCTCACGGGGCTGGGGGAGGGCAGGCTCCCAGGGCCGGTGTCTGGCACTGAGCTGTCGGTGAGGTGGGACTGGGCACTTGGTGAGGAGGTGTGTGCAGCACAGTGCTGAGGCTGCGGTGTTTTGTACCTGTCTGTACCATTTTTAGGCACCTCTCGTCGTTAGGAAATGCAAAAACCAGCCAGCAGAATGCTTTTTGCAGAGCTGTAGATGCAATGAACAGTGAGATCTGTGGACAGTGAATTCTCGTGGGGATCCCAGAACTCAAAAAGAGTCCTTCAGAAAGAGGAGGCTGCAGCTCTGGCTTGGGAAACAGCACGCTTGGCGTGCTGGTGGTGCAAAAGGAGAGGTGTATTGATGGAGGAGGCTTAAAAATACTTGTAGGATATTCTGTGCCTTAGACTTCTTGCTTCACTGCAGGCACTGGAAATCCGAGCTCCTCTGATGGGGCATGTATATCATCAGCCTTGTAAGCCACCTTTGAGCAAGAGAGACCTTCTGTAGCGTAACCAAATGTTTTCAGAATGTTCTCAAAGCAATTTGGTAGCTTGCCACAGCTTTTTTCTACTTCCCTTCCCTGACCTCTTCTCCTCTTTTCATCCTCTTGTCCAGTGCTGTGAGGAGAGCTTGACTTGTGCTGCTGGGCACAGTAACACAACTCCCACGTTTGGGGAAGGGTTTCTTAAGAGCCATCACCTTCTGCATGGCTGGGGTTAAGCCCAATGCCTGCCCATTACAAGCAGCAAGCCACCAGCCCTTACTGATTTTCTTCCTGTCTGTCTCCAGGCAGACTGGGTGATGGGTGCTATCATTAGGCTGCTTTTTAGGTTAATTAAGGGCTATCTCTGTGAACTAACTGGGAGTTCTCCCTTTTCAGGAAGAAGAGATGCCAGATGTAGAAATTGACATTGATGACCTTCTTGACGCAGCCAATGAAGAGGAGAGAGCTCTCAAATTACAGGTAATATTATTTTCTAATTTTAAATCTGAATGCGGCTGAATTAATGCACCTGGGTTGATATCTTCGTTGTGATTGAATCCACTGTCAGTGTAGCATTAGAGCTGAGAGGTTCCAAGTTTTGAGTTTAGCATAATCTACTGGGCTGTGTGAAGGTAATCACAGTCACTTAGGATAAGATATTTCTGGAAGGTAAGTGATAATGGAAGTAAATAAGGGTTCAAAGGATCCAGTAATATAGGGGGATATGCTAAGACAGATTAGAAAGCCCTACAATTTCCTCCTCTTTCTTCTTTAAAATATGTATATGAAATAAGTATATAAAATGAGTGTGGTTGAGAGGCAGTTGTGATGACCGGATAGTTTCTCTGCTTGACTGCAGCAGCAGCGATGTGCATGTGTGCACATACAGACCACAAATTCTCCCTTGTCCTCAGGATACTGGAAACTGTTTCTGTAGGTGTACCAGCTAGAAATTGGAACCCATCAAGTTATCGTGGAGTAACACATTTACAAATGTGACAAAAGGATGAGATGATCGGCAACAGGAGTTAGTAGGGACATTCAGAACCTGTCTGCTGAATTTGTACAGTTCAAACCAGTTCTCTGAATCCTGCTTGTGGTAAAAGTCAATGGAAGGAAGAATGAGGTGAAGAGGAAAAAAGACATAATTGTCTTAAATGAGATGCATATATATCAGCTAAGATGTGAAACCCATGTGAGGGTATCCATTTATGAACTTTCCATGTGCATAAAAGGAAGGAAACCTGTACCAGAGCAGTGGTTTGCACTTCAGCCCACTTCTAGGGAATCACTAACTTGGTGCTTAGGTGCACATCTCTGTTGGGAGTGCCTATTAGCATGCTTTTCTCAGTGCCTACTGCCCAGCCACAGAACCGTGGGGCATGTCCCCAGGCTGTTTACTCAGCGTTCATAAATAGCTTTGCTGTTTCTGCTTAAACTAGCAGCTTGCAGCTGCCCTGCCAGGAGTGCCTGACCTACCTAATGTCTGTATTTCTGCATTGCAAATATTGTGGCGCTTTCAAAGAAAGCTAGTTTCACATGCATGTTGCTGGGAGAAATGTTCTTGGATTCTCCTCTCCCCAGCTGTCTTGGAGGAGGGGATTTTGTAACTTACAACTTGGAGGAAGCAGCCATCATTTCTCTCCAGCTGCAAATTGTTTTGGTCTACCTGGGGAGCAAAGGTGATTGTTGCTACAATGCTCGGTGTTTGGTAACATCTTCATCCAGTGGTGTCTGGTTCTTGCTCCTTTCCTCTTTCCCCACTCCCTTGTCAGGTTTCCTACTGTAGAGTTGTTTATGTTCACTGGTGCTCTGTATTGAAACTAATGCTTTTGTCTTTTGCTTCTAGGAAACTCTTGTAGATTGCTACAAACCAACAGAGGTAAAAAGACTTTTCTTAATTTCTATTCACCTGTGGATAGTATAGCTATGCTCAAGTTAAAGTAAATGTGTTTTGATTTTAGTTATGATAAAGCTAATATAGCAATAGCCATGGGGAGCTGATGACCTTGGGGCTTTATTTGCTGGGAATGTTTATGCCTTTCATTTGACTACAGTAGGAACAGGACTGAGCTCTGTGGTGGGACTGCTGTTTGTACCAGCTGAAGTACCAATGTTGTCTTCTGTAATGTCCTGATTGACTTCGCTGATGCTTAGGGCTGTTATGATACAAGAGAACTAAACACAATTTTTATCATATGGTCAACCCGCCTCCCCCCTAAACCTACTGTGTTTGCATGAAATTTTTATTTGATAGACTGCATGCCTTTCAATTTCAAACCATGTAATTTCACCTTTGGCACTTAACTTGTTTGTTTTGGAAACTGTTATGTATATACACTTCTCAGCTAGTTCCTTCTGTGAGTGGACTTCAGTAGTGGTGGGACAACCTGAACTAGTGGGATTCAAAAGTATTCAACTTTCAACTTGAATATTTATTAACACGTACAGTGCCAATATAGCCTATTTCTCATCTAGTAATGCATGTTTATTGGGAAGAGTAAATATTTTTTAAAAACTAGGGCTCATTAAATAAAAAAAAGAAAAACCCAAGTGCAATAACTAGAGTAATGAAGCAGACAACAAGGTCTGGACTGCTGGTTTGTTTCTCATTTCAATTTATTATAGTCAGTGCTCTCTGACCAACAGCCATTGTAAAGTATTTAATAGAGTGGATGGCTTAAAGCATCCCCCAGTCAGTAGCCTTTCAGCTGTGCGTGACTGGAAGCCAGGCTGGCGGTTTTTGAAACAAGGGTGTCGTACAGCGTGGTTCCTGTCCCATGATAAGCAGTGCTGTAATGCCTGTAATTGTAGCCAGTTAAACAGCTGGGCTTTTAAGACAGTCAGACTGTCAGGAGGAGGAACAGTTACAGACACTTCCCAGCCGCCCAGATACTTTCTTTGGGGCCTTTTCATTTTTGTTGATTCCTGTGGTGGATTGGGCAAGTTGTCCAGAATTGCTGTTCCAGTTGCTGGTAATAGCTTTTTGACAGTGCAGGGAGCTGGCCCAGAAAGACTCGCCTGGAGACACTTGTATAACATGGTCTCTGCTGTTCTGTGGCTCCTTTACAGTAGGTAACACGCATCTCCCAATATCAAGATGCTATACCAAAATATCAAATCTCCAGGCGTCTCGCTATGCTACTCTGCAGACAACCCCTGTCAGCCTCCTCCAGCCTTCTCCATAAAGCAGCTTAGAACCTGTTTTTTCTTTGTGATGTGGGTCTGTAAACTGATACTGTGTTTGGAGCCTGCTATGATTCATGTCACAGGACAGGGAGAGAAAGTAGGGGTGGTGAGTGGATGGAGGGAACAGGTTGCCACGAATTTAGCAGCCACTTCTGTACTCTCTCTTACAGCCCTCTGTTAGCTGAAGGTCGATGGAGAAGGCAGAGAATCAATTACCTTCCTTCCTAGTTTGCTGAACATGTAATATATTTCTCAGCTCTAAAGTTTGACACAATACAAGGGCAAAATTCAGAGCTCTTGCAGGGATACATGACAGATGCTAGTGAGTTTTCCACTGGAAAGCTTGCTTACAGAACTGTGGAAAGTATTTGTGCAGTGCAGGTAAATTAAGTTACATGGCAGATCACATGAAACAACATCCTGAACACGTATGCTGGTGCTAAACTGTCCTCAGGGCACTGGAATAAGGTGAGATTTTAATACTGTACTTTTGACTTGTCTCTTTAGTCCTCTGCTGGTGGAATGGAGGTAGCTCTTACCTGGCAAAATACCCATCTTCATTGACAATCTTTTGAGATAGCCGAGTTAAGAGAAGTGCTTAATCCAGTCTGCTGTGAGGGTAGTTGGGTTTGTTCCCTGGGACTGTTTTCAAAACAGCAGCTTTTCTTCTTCATCTGTAGCATGATAAGCCCAATAATACCACATCACTGCTAATTTAGGCCATTTAAAAATAAATGATTTTTCACCTGCCAGCTGTGGACTAAGAAAAACCTGTAAGCCGTCTTAAATTCGGTTTATGAGGATCTACAGTCTTCTAGAAAATCTGCAATCCTTTCCTATTTGCTGTCATTTGAGAACGATTGAGGTAATTAATTTATGGAGAAAAGATGTGAGCTGATGGAATTTGTCTTTACCAATCAAATATAATCCATCAAGTGCACCAGCAGTTTTAGCATCAAGAAATGTGCAGTTTGAAAAAGGCTGCAAGCCCTAACAGGAGAAAAAAATACGTGGTATGATGTCTCTGCTACTGAGAACATAAGGAAGAATAGTGCAGGCAGAAAACTCAGTAACTTGAAGCTCTTATACTGCCTGTAATAAATAAATAAACAATATCTTCAGTCAGTTTTGCTTAGTTTCTTCCACTTATACTAAAGGTCAAAGAACAACTGAGGAGTTTATGCATGTATGCTGGATTGTGTTTTCATCAGAAGAAACAGAATTATCCAAGTCTCTTGAAAGGTGGCAGGAATTTTGAGTCTCTGTTCTCAGCCTCTGTAATAAATTGACCAAAGACAATAGCTGACAGTAATTTAGGAGGAACTGCAATGAAACCTTCTAAAGGAAGCATCTGAGTGGGGCTTAGCTGCATACTGGGGTTAAACCACAACAAGGAACTATGGCGAGGCTGTTGCATGTGCTCTAACATTTTAAAAGCTTTCCTGAGGTAGCAGTTACTGCTGTTGTTTTAATCTGTATGGAAATACATTTAATGTGGGAACCTTCCTATAAAGCGTGGCTTAATCTCAAACAAGGCAAAAAAAAAGTTAATTAGGAAAGTGCACAGTGTGATTTTTTTTTTGTGTACTGTTAAGTTTACGTTAAGGATCCTTATATCAAAGATTTGGTCTGCTAATCAAGATTGATGTGCCTTATAACCGAGGTGTCATTCAGTGATAGGCATTAACTGTGTAAAATGTGCCAGATGCGAAAAACAGTGTCTGGACATCATTTTCCAACTTGGCTGTTTGTACAAACAGAACAATAAACAAAAACAAGAACAAAAAAAGACGTTTCCATTCCTTCAGACAGTCTGTACTTCTCCTCTTCCCCTTCTCCCTTCTGGTGCTGCCATACCCAGTTCAAAAGTAGTACAAGTCATGGACACTTGATGTAAGCCACGTAAGCTATAAGAAGACAGCAGTTCATTTCTGGGACTGCATAAACCTAAAGGGTATGCTATGTGCAAAATCAGCATCATAAACAAATCTTGGATCTGCACTTCTGTGGTTGAAAAGGAGCAGGGAGCAGCGACATCCTCTTGTGCTGTCCATGTGGCCAGGGCAGTCAGTGCTTCTCTGTGCCATGCACTGCCTGTGCAAAGTCCCGCCCAGACCTTTCTCAGGTGCCTATATCAGGTCTGTGTGCTGGAGAGACTCATCAGAGGTCCCAGGGAATTCCGAATCTTAGTGGTGAACGTAACAAGGAAATTTAAGTATAATCTGTAGCTTTGTCAATAGGGTTTTGTATTTGAGAATAGGCTTGTTCAGAATAGGAAGACTGTTGTGGAGATGAGATAAATGAGGTTTTATCAAGACAAACTTCGAAGAAGGCTGGCTAAATAGCAAAGTCAACCTGTTTAGACTGGATTTTGTAGAACATCAGAAGTTCTTGTGGCTTGATGTGAATTAAAGCATCTGCTGGTGGGACTGCCAAAGTGATGTCAGGAGAAATAAGGAGACTTTCAAACTGCTGTGAGAGGGAAATGGAATGGATACAGGCTCAAAGCTGTGGTTGAGCTACACAATGTTTGCAGAAATGTTTGAGGAGAATGCAATAAATAAAGTTTGGTGTTTCTTTGTTTCTTTCTTTTCTCATAGGAATATACAAGCTTTGGGCGAATGGGCTAAGATCTCTTCCACTGAGGCAGGCAGGAATAAATCTATCCAGACCATCTCGTTAGTATAATTCTTTGCTCAGTGCAAAGAGGAGAAAAAGGAGATGAAGTAGCATCATAAAAGAAAGTTCTTTTGCTGGGAACTTTTAATTAATAGAATTTGCAATGTTATTTCAAAAAAACAAACAAAAAAAAAACCAACCCTGTGTTGAATTGCTGCATATTTTCAGAAAAATTTGGTCAGAGATTTAAGCCATACACTATGCAGGGTTGCTTCAGTGTCTGGACTATTGTAGCAGCTTTCAACACTTAATTTTGAGAAAGGTAGAGAAGCGTTTGCTTAACTGTATGTTTCCCCAAGTTTAGCTTCTAGTTGGAGCAAATGACAGGCTTGTGATGCAGCTTTTTATAATGGTCCAAGCACTGTGGTTTTTAAAACTATTTTGGGTATGTCTTCAAATAATGTTTGTATTTAGTATACAGAGATGAATAGAAAACGCAACCCTTTTGAAATGGTACTTCTAAAGTTCTGAAAGATCATCTATTTTTTTGGTCCTGATATTTAAATAATCACAAGGCAGCAGTACGTGGGATGCCTTTTCTAAGTAATAGAAACTGAAGAAGTGTCCTAAAGCCTCTGTGCAGTGCACAGCCGTACAGCCTGGGGAGCCTAGAAGCTCATTCATGGCAGCTCAGCTGATGGATGGTAATTATGAAGTAACAGTAACTGTATTGTACGTCCATATTACTTAAATCCAAATAGGGCATTTTGTAAAGAAAAAAGTTAAGAAATGTGCATGTTTAAAACAATGCAGACAAGCACTTCTAGAAAAACGTTTTACTGTGTATGCATTTGACCACTTTGAATTCAGTGAACTAACACTGTTGATATGCCTGCTGCTGAGATCTGCCCTATATTGTGCTACAGCGTTGGAGAGAATTAAATTTGCATGTTTGCATTTCAGCAAGTGCTCCTGAACACACCTGAGAAAGACCCATAGCAGTATTTTAAGGATGGAGGGGCAAATGGTGATTTGACAATAAGCTGTGCTTGCATACGTGCTGCTGAATTGGAGAGTAACTGGACTGTGTGTCCTGACCACAGCTAAGCTTTGTCCTATATAGTCAATGCCTTGTTCAGGGCTCATCAAGAAACTCAGCTGCTGTGGATTGTCCTCTGGGCACTGATGGTGTTGGTGGGGCTGGCTGGTAGGATTGTTCAGTGAGGCCACAGAGATGCTGCACCAGTTCCTGCTAATAAAAGACAGTGTCTGGCCCAGTTTCAAGGTTTGAGAGCCTTTGGGGATGGGAAGATGTTTGGAAGTAGGGTTCCCTCTTCCTTTTCTCTTTACTCCCCCATTCATATGGCATTCTTGAGTTTCTTCCCCAAGTTGTTGTGTAGAGTGCTCTCCAGTATGACAACTTTGTACGTTCAACTAATTGGGCTTTCTCCAGGAAACAGTCTCAGGCAAGCAGTGAAGGAAATCTTGATTTTTGAGTTGGCTGCAGGGAAGTAAAGCTGTGGAGCAAAGCTGGTTGAGGATTCATTTCATGCTCTGGTGAAGCAGGAGCACGAGACACCCTTCATTTTAGTTTAAGCCCTGGTCCTATTACATGTGTTCTGTTTGTGGGAGAGAAATCTGGAGAGACAAAGTCTAATTAGTCTCCAGAATTAATTGGAAGACTTGAATAGTAAGCCTCGAATTCATTGTCTGTCAAGTGACCTCATTAAAACAATGAATCACACCTCCAAAGCAGAGAGGTGAAGTGATTTCCTCCCCTTTGCAAGCAAAGGTGAAATGATAATTCAGCCTTCCTTATTTTTTGTTCTGCATTAGATGAATGCTTTGGCTGAACTGAATGCCTTGGATTCTAGGAAAAGCATTAGGCAAGGGAGAAGACAACTGCCTAAGGCTGAATATAAATGAGTTCAAATGAAGTATGGATTTAGTCTCTGCTTCTCTCTTGACTTTGCCTTCAGTATTAGAAAGATGCGTTTTCAAGAAACAATCTTGTGTTGCAAATTAGCAGGGCTCTCAATACTTGTAACAAAATGGTATTTAAAGGTGATCTCCTTGCAAAAATCTGTAAAAAGAATTTAAACTAGATTTATGTGCATTTTTCTTTTTTTTTTTTTCTTTTTTTTTTTTCCTTTAAGCAAGGCCCAAACTGTTGGCACTGGATTTTTGTTCTATTAAAAGTACAGATGTGCCCTGTGTATTTCTGGCTGTAGTCCTCAAAGGAATAGTTTGTGAGTTCTTGAGTCCTTAACTGAGTTATTTTTAAGTGTTTTCCAGCTATGAGAATCAAATAAGTATTAATAAGTAGATAATCCAACCTGTGTTACACAACTACTTTTAACTTAGATTGGTGCATGATTAGCTTTCAAACGCATGATGCTAAACTTCAGCTCAAATCCTAGGGGGGATTTCAAGAAAATGCTCTGTGTAAAATGAGTTTTGTGTATGAGGTTGAGATAGATGTGGGTATTAAGCCTTCTATTAAGCTTCAACCCAAATGTCCACAAGGAATAAAACTGCAATTTTGAGTGATGTTTAAAGAAAATAAATGAGTATTACTGTGTGTCATAAAGCTGACTCAGTTAGCTATAAAGTGAAGGCTTATTAAAATGTTGTGAAGCCTTCTTATCTGCCTCCAAGAGGGAAAATGTGCATCTTTTCCAGAATGCTGCTTTTCCCTAATGGAGGGCCACAAAACAAGAAAGGCACAAGCACCAGAGCACAAATGTACGAATAAACACAGGCTCAGTGCAAGCATCAGATGCAAACTGATACTTAAAGCAAATCAGAACCATCCCGAGCCAGTGCTCTGGTTTGCACACCTGCGGGATGCGCTCTGCAGCGCTGCTGCACTGTGTGAAAGGTCTGCCATGTACAGAATGCTCTCTCTGGGTTTTACTCTTCAGTTCTGCAAGCCCTTATTGCAAGACAATTTGTTCCCGAGGGGTAAAGCATTTGTCATTATTATATGTACTTCTTCAAGTGCGTATGGCTGCCTTCCACTTCCAGAAGAAAACAGCCTCACTTACTGCAGATCTTATTTTAGGGGATTACCCCCGCGCAGCTTGATTTATTTTGATTCACTAAGGAGTTTTTTGGTGCCTTTAAGATTGCAAACTTCAAGCAGATAGATTATCTTGCAAAAGAAGGTGCTTGCGGTGCTGCCACAACAAGGGGAGGAACTCTCCTCCTTTGCTGTAGCGTTGTGTTGAAAAGCAACTGACCCCTGGCTGCATTTCATACCCAAGGGAAACTTGCTCCAAATTCTTCTGAGTTATGGCAGAAAATGGACAAAGGAATGGAAAGGGCCCTTTCAAAGAGGTACACCCTGCACAGCTACAGCCAGAATAATGCCTGTAGATTTCCCTGTCAACTCTGCAGATGCCCCGTCTTTCCTTCCTACTTCTGTGAAGCTCTTGGACAGTTGCTGGTTGCAGTATCTTGTTGCTGCCATGATGGTAGGTGAGAGTGGTGTAGAATAGTGGTAGCTTTAGCAGAAGACTGATCAAGTCTTCTTGAAGGGAACAACCGAACTTCAGCACTTTCTTTTCTGAAGTTGTCTTAATCTGATGTTTTGGGATAAGAGCATAACGTTTTGTTGAAGGAGCTGTTGAAAGGCAATACTAAGTGCTTCAATCCCAGGTGAAAATCTTTTAAGATCACTTTAGAAAGTTTTATAACGATTTCACTGCAAGGTTTCATTTAATACAATAATAATAAAAAATATCCTAAAGTGTATTTAATAGAATTACAAAATGGTTTGGGTTGGATGGGACCTTAAAGACCACCCAGTTCCAGCCCCCTGCCATGACCAGGTTGCTCAAAGCCCCAGCCAACCTGGCTTGAACACCTCCGAGGATGGGGTATCCACAGCTTCTCTGTGCCAGTGCCTCACCACCCTCAGAGTAAAGAATTTCTTCCTTCAGATAGCACCATACCTCATTAGTTTTGCGTTGTCTAGCAGGCCTTTACAGTGCTGAAAGGATCAACGCATAATGCAACGCATAGTGAATGTCTCTGCCCTTCTTCTGACCTCTGAATGGTTAAGTGCTATTCTCTGACGATTTGCAAGTGGATATTGTTGCAGTGACCTGTGCATATCTGGAAAAATACAGTTTGTAGGGGATGGAGAACGAGGATTTTGGATCTTAACAAATAAGCTTTTCCAATCATCTCTTTAGGCTACAGGCTTATCTGTATGGGATGTGCAGTATTGATTTGCACAAGTGTATTCCTGTACTGGCCTTGGCTGAGCTGGCTTAGGAGTAGAAGATGGGTTGGATACGCAAGGTTCTTGGTGAGCTTTTGTGGCCCACATTGATGAGTGGTGCTTGGCCTTTGGTGCTGTTACTTGAAGCCACAGCTAGCGTGGGTGCTTCAGCCATGGCACAGCAGCGCGTGCAGTGCAGTTCAGGTGTGCATACACAGCCAGGAAAGGAATTCGGTTTGTTGGGGTGGCACCTGCCAGGTCTGTGGCTCTACCAGAAAAAAACGGACTGCTGTCAAGTGAAAATACACATTTGCAGAGACTTTCCTTACGCACACTGTAGCACCTGTATAACGTGTTGCAATGTGACTTTTTTATTTGGAAAGGTACTGTGGTGTCATGCAGGTGGTGACCTTGCTCCCTGGAATTTCTAGCCTCGAGCGTTCAGCTAGGAAGTCGTGCTTTTTGTCCTTGCACATCAACCTGACTAAATCAATAATTACATGCTCAGTTTAAAGCTCAATGATTTCTAGATAAGACCCTTTTTGTAGGTGCATACGCAGTGCTATGGGTAAACATCACTCTCCCAGAGTGACAGTAAGTGCATCTGCAATTATTATATGAAATTGTATGCCAGAAGAATTTCAGATAATGGTGCAATTCTCTAAGCTCCTGTTCTCTCACAATGTAAAAGGAGAAAATCTACAGAAGCTGGGGAAGATGTCACTGTGAATAGAGTCCTGGTCCATTAATGTCTTTTGTTTCAGATTAGTGTCATTCACTGAGCTCCACAACCAGTTTTGCTGAGAATAATCCAGTGGTGCTACCTCTGGCTCCTTGGTCGTGCCTTCCCTCAGACTGGCAGGAGTGGTGGAGTGAGGCTGAGCAGTGAGCCCACTCAGAGAGCTGAGCCGGCTTGGAAAGTAGCAGGGCAACAGGAAAACAGCTGAGTTTTTAGCCAGACTAGCTCTCTGCTCCAGTTGAATACTGCAGCCAAACAAAATGCTAGTGCCAGCGTGGAAAATGGTGAGACAAACACCTCTTTTGGCAGCAGCGCTAATTTCTTTGCGCACTGAAACTGAAATTCTCCTTTGACAATTTGCACTGTATTCAGTCATAGATTTTACTCGATTCAACAGCTGGTAGAAGGCCCCGTGTAGTAAAAGGCTGGAAGATGACTAGCAACTAAGGCAGAACACTCACGCAGAGTCAAAAAACAGTTATTCCCTCCTCCAATATGTGACAAGTGTATGCACATAAGATTCCTGCAGATCAGGCTAAAGACATCCCAGCTTAGCAGTAAAAGCTTAAATAAAAATGTAACTTGCTTTGAATTTTTTTAAACTCAAAATCATGGTGTTATGGGATCTTAAAAATTACTCATCTTTTCTAATCTTTTTTTTTCCTAGGAATTTATCAAAGAGCTGCTAACTCGGATAAGAGGAATGAGGAAACTCAGTCCCCCTCAAAAGAAGAGTATATAAATAACTCGAAGTAGTAGCACTCTGTAAAAGACATGGCAAGGGAAATGGGACTTTGAATACAAGACCTTTATTAAAATAGTTGTCTTTCTCCACAACTTTTTTGATTTCATTCAGTTTTGACTCAAGGAATTTCTTTTGTGTGTTTTAAGGGTTCTTTTTTAAATGTCGATTATTTTTTTTATCAAGAATATCAACGTTTTGGATGCTGCTCAACTTTCACTTGAGGATTACTGAAGCAAGAGAAGAATCCAAGAGTTAGTGATGGGGGGCAGCAAGCCTACGTGGTGAACCAGAAGATCTTGTAAATTTACAGAGCTGGGAGACTTCTCCTTGCAACTAGTTGGATAACGTTTTTTAAGTTGGTTGTACATTTAACTCATGGATGTCAAGTTTCTTGTGCTTGTCTGTACATAAATTATAAAGTGGGTTGTGAATACTGTTTCACATGGATGGAAGGAAAAGTTTGTTACGGTAAATTATTTAAATGGTGGTTATTGCAAATTTGCTACCAGAAGGTACCAATTTAGATGACTAAAATGAGTGCTGCCATTTTTCTAAGTACCCTTAAAGCAACCCAGTGAAGAATTTCATCATATCTCCTTATTTAGACCACAGCATATGAGAATTGGGAATTTTAAGGGCTTAATTTGTAGACTTAAAGTTATTTTAACTTTGATGCTTTGCCAGATCATTTCCTCCCCGCCTCATGGTGTCTTGGAACTGTGCTAACCTGTACTGAAAAGGGGCCTGCAGTGATATCTAGAGAAATGTCCATCACCATTTAAAGCTGCTTCACAGTGGAGGAAAAGGCAGTGCTACCACCAGAACGACTTAAAAGCACTGCCTTGCATTAAGTGACGTGGTCTTTAATCAAGTGAAGATTCCTCTCCCGTTCAAGTAGGCAAAGGATATTACGGTCTTTGTTTATGGCTCTGCCCTGAGAAGCAGGGAGACTATAATTTGGGTTCTCGTACTTGTAAAAGCAAGAATAGAGAGATCCCTGCTCCCTCCTCGAAAATGTCCTAAGTAAAACGTTGAATAAGCTACCATATGCTGGTAGGTGACACTAGTCAGGCATTTTATATCAAGGGTGCTCTGAACATATTTTATTTTTCAAAAGAAGTACATGTTTGTGAATTTTATGTATACTGGCAAGCTTTTTTAATGTATTTAATTTTGTAATGTTTACCGATGATTTTATTTACCAGATATTTACTCAAATAAATGGAACAACTTGTGACTTGTTACATGTACACTTTACAAGGCTACTGTTGCTGAGTAGGTTGGTAAGTGGACTTGCTTACCAGAAAGAGAAGCCTGTGAGGTGGTAAGTACATGGGAACCCAGCTGCATAGACCCTACCTGGCTTTTAAAGGTACAACCAAAGCCCTTGCCCAGTATCACTCAGCCAAATTCCTGTAACCTGGTGGACAGCCTCACCTTTGAAAGTCTTCTGTGTTTGAGACATGCCGTCCCTGGAAATGCTCAGCTAAATACCACTGCTCACTGCCTTCCTTCTCCCAGAGATCAGACTGGGGGAGGGCTTACCACTGGGCAACTCCATTCTCCACCAAAGGTCTGGCAGCAGGGTATCTTTCTGCAGGAGGTCCTCTACCTTTTTTTTTTTTTTTTTTTTTTCTTCCCTTTGCACCGCAAGAAACTTCAGCAGCCGTGAGAAAAGATTTGGTTGTTTTGCCTTGCAGCATGTTAAGTTTAAATCTAAGTTTAAAGCTGAGGCTGCAGTTCTGCTCTGGTTTCCAATGGAGACTTACAGCAAACTTTTTTATTTTTATTTTTAAATCGGTATGTGACGAGAGACTGGTGCTCCAGGAAAATGAGCGGGGTGACAGCTTGTGATTTCTTCAGTTTGTATGTCGATATCTCCCACTATTGCTGTCAGCATTATCAGTGAACTGTCTTCAGAAAGAGGCCCCTGTAAGTGACCTCTCTTATCACAAGGAGGTTATCTCTCCTTGGTCTGTGCTCGTAGCAGAGGCTCTGATGTAGCTAGATTGAAGTGACCAAGCTCAGATCATGCTGATCCCTTTGAAGGAGGGATGTGTACTTGCAAAGCTTCTCCAGCTCCTGAGGTTAGGGGCCTTTTGTTAGATTTTTCACTTAACTCTTGAGCCAAAAGTCTCTGATGTTAGTAAAGAAGTCTTAGTACCTAGCAAACACCTGGTGTTTGGCTAGGCAAGGGCTTTCACGAGCCCTTTTCTAGATAATGCATTGGTTCATATACTAGTGAGATCCTTTTTGCAAGCACCAAGTCTGTTACGTCCAAAAATGGATAAAAATCGTTTGATTTGAGATTTGTCAGTAAACTCCAGAGTTTTGAGCTGCTGCCTGAAATGCAGTCTGCTCATGGGTACCTTTCCCTGACTCAGAAGTGTAAGTACATACATGCCTCAGCAACTGTTGGCATGCAATGCACCTTTTCAACTTCTGGGGTGGTTACAGCTGCCTACATTTTGCAGCTGCTGTTTAGAAATGACCCCAAGTCTGGAGAGAAAGGTTTGAGTCATTTCCATGTTCACAGATGCATTTTATCACTTACTACTTCAAATATATACATTTTTTTTCTTCTTTTCCAATAGTGGTGTGCAAAATCAGAAATGTGAGGTGATGGCATTTGTGCTGGTTATCTCTTTTCTCCTGGAGCAAAATGCTGCTCCACAAGTATTTTTCCCTCATGTTACTCAGCTAAAAATTGCCTAACTGTGTGCATCACCCATTTGCATCTTTTGTCTTAATTTTCTTGCATTGAAGTAGTTGTGGAAAATATCACTCTGTGCCTTTTGGAGGCAATCAGAGGTAGTTGGAACAAGTAATAGACTTGTGAACAATGAACATTGGGACAGTCCCTACTGCTTTCATCTGTCACGCGTGGAAAGGACAGCCACTTCTGTGAAGGGCTTCCTTCCCTCCAGCTCTACATGTGTCGCTATCTTACAAGTGTCAGTGAGCAAAAAACTCTAAATAGCTGTTGTTTGCAGCTGGCATGTTTTTCCCCCATACTTACAGGGTCTCATTCTCGTTGCTTTTCACTTAATGGAGATGCTCTTGGCCTGGGTGTCAGTGTGGGGAGAACCAAGCCACTCACTAAAGATTTCTTTGTGCTCTACATCTTTATACTGTGTGGGTGTTCTTGGCTCTGGGCGATGTTCAGGGGGCATATCAATAGCACACTGTTGCTGAAACAACTTGGGATTAAATCTTACAGCCCAGGCTCCTCGGCTGGTCAGCTTTCGAACGGCCAAGCCTGCAACGAGCACTTCCTCTGGGCTCTTAAAGTGGCTAATGAAAGGAACTGAAGTGCCCTGTAATAAATATGTAGCAAAGCTGAGTTTGTTGTGCTGGCATTGGAGTGCCTCTCCAGTACACAAGACTGCCTGTGAGAGCACGTGTTCCTGGGGTCTGCTTCACGGCAGAATTAGCCTTTGCATGCCAACAGTGTGATGTCTTCCATGGCTGCTCCTCCAGTTGGCTTAGAAAGAGGAGGAAAGTGCTTGTAATTGTGTTCAGTGCTCCCTGTGAGGCTGCAGTGACAGGGTAGTGTATTCCTGTGGGACACAAGAAAGAAGATCAGCCATTTTTCTGCCAGCCTTGTTTTTTGCCATTCTCCTTAATTATTCCTGTGGTGGGTTTCACTCCTAAGGTTCCCATTTGTGCAGGGGGTGTCTGGGGACCAGACACCAACAGAGTGCCTGTCACCTGGAAGCTGGAAGAAGCTACAGGGCCCGTGCTGTACCAAGAGCTGAACTTGAACTCCTGGTGAAGAGCAAGGATTAATTGATTCTTGGCTGCTTAAGGTTTGCCATTGCCAGCATCCTCCCCAGATGCTAAACAGGTACTGAATTACTGCGTGCAATGATTTTTAAAGGATGTTGAGGTTTTGAGAGGGAGAAAGAAGTTCAAGTACTAGGAAGTCTAGAAAATAAAATCACTAGGGAAATTGCCCTGTTGTATCTTCAGCCATTAAGAAGACTGAGAGGAGTCTTGTGATTTTGCATATATTTCTGTATGGAGAGAAAATGAGAAACGTTTTCATTTACTGGAGAAAAGCATAAGGAGGAGGGATGCCTGGAGGATAAAGAAAGGGAGCTGGAGGTAAGGAAGGACACAGCACACCTTGGTGGTGAGCGTGAGGAGCCCTCTGAGCCCGCTGCTGAGGGGATAAATGAGATAACTGCTTATTAGTATCCTCAGATCGAAATTGGATGCTTTTCTAGGTAAGTTCATATTCAGTTCAGTCAACATGATCAAAGACCTGAAAACTCTAAACATCTGCTTCAAATATTTATTTTGGGGAATTGTGCAAAGCAGAGGAAACAAGACAAATTGATTTGTATACTTGTATATTAGGCTTACACAGTGGTCAAATCAGATTACCAGTATCAATTATATATATAATACACAGCTCCACGGCTTTTTACTTGACTTCCATGTTACTTCTTCCTTTTTCTTTATGGTGATAAAATAGCAGGTATGAGTATAATTAATGCTGCTATCAAAAGCAAGAGAGAAATTGAAGTGAAGAAGAGAAAATGTGCTTGGAAAGCACCCAGTGCTGCAGAATTTGTTCTTGTCACCGGAGGACTCTGCCATCAGCGTAAATGCAGAGTGTTTCTCTAGTTCTGAAATTGCTGTTTATAATTTATCTAGTGATGGTGGGATTTTTTTTTTCAGCTTTATTTTTGTGGTAGAAATAATGACCAAGTTCTCTGAGCTATTATCTTATACTTATAGACTTTCCTGTTTTTTCAACAAAAGTTGACATTAGCTATTTAAAACTGAAGAAACCAGGCTATTTGAGAAGTTAGTTTTAAAAATATATCTAAGAATGGAAGTAATTGTGGAGGTGCAGATAACATATTTTGTTTGGTAGTACCCGGACAGCTCTCTGTGGGCAGGGGGTGGTGCTGTGCTGCCTCATGACTGTGGAGGACCCCACAATCCATGCCAAACCAGCAGTGGAGTTGGGCTCAGCCTTTGCTAGAGTGGGCCCTCAAGCAGTTTCTCACCTTCTTCTTGCAACTAATGATCATCAGCGATCTGCATGTCTTCTCTTGGGTCTCTCCAGTCTTCCTTCCAAGCTTACCAAAACAGTAGTTCTAGCATTCGTTGCCTCCGGTACTGTCACAATGCATTTCTTTATAGGCTGCGTTAATATTCCCCTTTCCTTCAAGTTTAGTACCTTGATTATTTCTCTTCAGGACCTTTTACTATGCAGTGGAAATGGGAAATGTGTCACCTGATGCTATTTCTGCCACAGAGGCTCTGCTGCCAATACCAAATCAGTCTGAAAGACTAGAAAGGCTGCAGAAAATTCAAGTGTCTTATGAAATATGGCCTCATACTGATGAGACATATTCTCTTGCTCCTTATTTTCCTTACTTCACTTTCCCAAGTAAGTCTTCAATGTGTAACTGCAGCTAAGCCACATGCAGTAAGGAGAGAACAAAGCTCCTGGAACTGATTGTGTGATTTCTCTTACATTTTGAGGAGAAAGAAGATAAATATAGCTTTTAGGTTTTTTTTTTTTTAATCCCCTGATATCTGAAAGACACTCCAGCAGCAGTTGCAGAAGGCCACAGAAATGGTCTTGTTTGGAAACCTGAGGGTGAAGCACAACTGAAAACAAACAAACCACCAAGAAGTAACGGGTGGCAGGTGCACGAACTTGCCAAGTGCAGACCTTCTTCATGTCCTTCAGGAAAAAGCCATCCGTGTCTCCTGAGCTCAGCACCCGTGAAGATGAATGTCCTCCCACCAGGCTCCACTCAGCTTTCCTCTTCATTTGTGAGGGACAGGAATTTGTTGCCAACCCATACTTAAACAACTTGGATCCTCTGATATAAATACCTAAAACCCAAGTATCTTGAGTACAGGTATAGCTGTACATATGCTATTGCCAACTGACAGCTTCTGTTTTTGATAGAAAATGAAGTTGTTCAATGGTTCTTTTGTCTGGACCTGTTTAATTCCTGCCTCCTACACTCCAGCTGTCCTTTTAATGCAGCTTTCCCAGTCATCAGAAATGCTTTAACATATTTCTTTTGAGAATTTTTCTGGTCCTGGTTTAGATTTAAAACAACCACCAGATGATCCTATGTTGGAAAAAGGCTGCATAAGCTATAAGTTGTTGCTAAGATTCCTCTATTTATACTTGTCCAAGGTGTTTCTGTTCTCATATCAACAACGTACCTCAGTAGTGCATGTCATATAATGGTAAATCCTTAATTTTAATGCTCTAGCTCAGTGCCTGCTCTTTCGTCTTCCTATGTGTCTTGGTCAAGAGTTGCCACTTAGTATATTATATTGATTATTGCTTCATCTATGAAGCTGTACATTGAGCTCAGCACTTAATTGCTCTGAGGCTGGCTTTTCTATCCTTGGCACAAGGACAAAGTGTTTAAAAATATGTCAGCTCTTGAAAAATAAGCAAGTAGTTTTAATGCCAGGGTTGAGTGAAGTGATAATTGTTTAACATTTCACCTTCTGGTTACCTCTGAAATCTGAAAATCCAAATGCTTTCTGAAATTAGTATGATTTTTTCAGCCTGATCTTGTTAGCTGCTTCCTAATTCTCTTAGTACTTATTTCTTACAGCTTTTATTTATGGCTGCAGTTGGTTCTGATCTGAGAAGTGTTTCCCCTCCCTCAGAATTTCTCTCTGTTGCTCTCACCCCTTTTGCAACAGAAATTCAGATGTGTCAAAATTGTACCACCCCTGCACTACCAGCAAAGATAACTAGGGAGGGGTTCAAGAGAAGTTAAATACATCAGACTATCCCACAATATTTCTGTCTCTTCTTTGCTAAGAAAGTTAGGTTATCTTGCCCAGCCCCAGTCCTGAGTTTCACATCTTTTCCTTTGTGCAAAGCCATCCACAGGAGAGTGGGAAGCACCTGAAAGAAAGTACTTAAAGCTCTGGGAGTTGGTTCAGAAATCTCAGACTGGGCTTGTGCATGAGGCTGTCTTTTAGAAAAAGTTATATAAACATATATATATGTTTAGAAGAGTGGGACCATCCAGAGCCTTTCTACCCAACCACCGACTGTTAATTAGAGATTGAGGAGCAGCTGTCAAATAGGCATCAGGGCTTGGAGTCCAGATCAAGTAGCATGTATGGCACAATACACTCCTTCAAAAGGCTCTTCTGTGTCTGAACCTTGCTCGTTTCACATGCTCAAAAATCATGAGGTAAGTAATGCAGGCACTCTGAAGCTACCTACTCCTGCATCTTTTATAATGCATATTGGTTTGTGTGCTTGTTTCTTGAGACGGTCTCTCAGGGGCCACTTGTGGTTCTTTTCCTCTGCTGCTGATGGCCTGAAATTTCCCTTTAAATGAAAACTGAGACTTTCCTGTCTCCAGCAGTTAGGAACAGGAATCCTAAGAACGATGTTGGGATCATGATGAAAACATTAAAGTCGTGAGCAATCAGGAAAACACATTAGCATTTGCTGTGGTGCCCTTCTTGGTGTATCCCACATAGCCCACGGAGGATCCCCCTGCACTGGTCAGCTTGTGCACAGAAACCCATGAGGTAGACAGGCCAGATAAAATGGAAATGTGCTGGCATCACTTGGGTTTCAGGTTGTAGTTTACCCTCTATCTGGTTTAATGCAGGCTACTTGTTTATTTCATTCAGTAGACAGTAAGCTTTCTTTAAATTCAGTTTGCTAATAGATGTCTTTTGTATTTCACTGCTGTGCTCAACTGCGCTCCATAGGGACCTTGGTGGGCAAAATGGGTCTTGGGTAGGTGCTGGAAACGAACAGCTCATTTTTTGTGTAAATAATTGAAGATAGAAACAAGCTGGTTTAAACAATGTGTTTATATTGCAAGTGTGTCGCAGTGGAGCCTAGCTAGCACCCCAACCAATTATACTTCCAAATTTTGCCCTTTGGGGACAGGAAAAGGCTGTCAAGTGCTGGACTGTCTGCAAATCATAGAAGCCTTTGAGTTCTTCTCATTGTTAAAAGGGTCACTTACTGTGAGCAAACAACTCATAAATCAACGGTAGTTGACACTCAAAGTTTGGCAGGAGGTTTCGGAGCTGTGTAATGGCATTTGGGAGATGGATCCACAGCTCCCTGTGCCCCGCATCCGTGGGCCAGGGGGAGCAAACTGAAATGGCAGCTCTTCGTGACAGCCCTTCTCTGCAAGTGCCAGGTGAGGTGTGTGGTTCAGATACCCGCACGTCTTTCCCACGTATGCTTTTCCTTTAGGTCATGCAAAACCCTTTTTTCTGTTTCTGCTTTAAGGAATACCACAATTAGACAAGAGGGGATAACCACAACTTCTTGTAATTTACCAAGGACTGCAGAGGGAAAAGATGGGCAGCCGGTGCTTGCTTCGGTGCAGAGCCGAAGTGCACGGCCGGTGCAGAGCCTCGGCCGTGGATTATCTCACAAAAGAAGTGTGGACTGCCATGGGGAGTTGTTCAAAACAAGCGATACCTTATTCAGAGCCCCCTCTCAGGGTAATGCAGGGCGTCAGAGCAGCTGTGAGGAAGGAACAGGGCCACTGGGAAGGGGAGGTGTTCCCACCGGCCTTGTGTGCCTCATGACTCGCAGCTGAGCCTGGTAAGTGCTTCATTCATTTCCAGGGAGGTGCACAGAAGTGAGCTCTTACATTTAAAGTAAATGCCACAATCATTTTTCCCTTACCTGTTGGCATTAATTAAATGGAAATGGGTTTTCTACTTCAGCTATTGTTTTGAGGCCCACTCACCTGTCTCGGTCTGATTTTTTTTCCCCTCCAGCCTGTTGTGACCTCAGTGTCTCTCTGTCGTTTTGTTGTCTGACTGTTCTCTTCCACTTTGCAGATCTTGGAAAAATGTTTTCCCCCAAAGGGTGTGAGGCAGCATGTTGCACTAACCAACTGCCATGACAGAAACTGGCTGTGTCATCCTGCTTCTTGCCCTGTCCCCGCTTGGCTGCTGGCAGTATGCTTTGCCTTTTATCCATCTCTGCTTAGGGAAAGAGCCCTAGGAGTGAGCACAGCATGCCTGCCTGGTCCTCCTGGGGCTCAGGTAAAAAGCACAGAGCCTTGCATGCTCATGCTGGAGCTGCCTGAAGTGCTGCCAGCATGTGCCACAGCCAAAAAAACCCGGACACGGGTGGTGCTGCCTGCCCACGCACTTCTCGGAGGGACGTGTCACCGGTGCTTAGTTAACAGCAGTGCCAGAAGGTGCAACACTTCCCTCCTGGTCACGGAGCTCCTAACAGTGGGTGCACTGAAAGGTTTGTGTGCTTCACAGCCTGCTGCCCTGAGGAAAACGAACACGCTCTCCTGCATCCAGTATTCGGCCGCATCGTGTAAACAGACTGTGGTGATTCTCTCCAGAGAAGGGAAGGAGAAGTCTCGAGCTCAACCCTCAGTGCCCTTCCAGGGCTCATCAGGACAGCAGCTTCCCAAACACTGTGCTGCAATTATCTGATGGTATATCAGTATTTTTCCTCCCCTGCTGCCTTTTTTCTAGTTTCCTAAAGGAGCGGCATCGGTCCTTTTAGCAGCTGCCATGTCAAAAGCATCCAGGAGGAGACTGCAGGAAGCTGGCAGTGCCTGGGAAAAATGAAGCAAAGCTGCAGGGAGCCTCCTGGCTGAGTCAGTGGCTTTCTAACATCTTTCCCAACCAGCGCTGCCCACTCTCACTGAGCTGGACCAGACTCCTGGCAGCAAAGGCCCCGTCCGAGCTGCTCGCATCCCAGGCAGAGTCAGCAGGCTGACCTCTCCAGTTTGTGAGCATCAGTGCTTTCCCCTGCTCAGTGTGTGCACCTAGCCTTGCTAGTGCCTCTCCAGCTCCCTTTCTCTTCTTCATCACCTCTCAGTTGTTGACTGACAGGAGTCGTAAATAACATGGTAATATTTTCAAAATGCCTTTGAAAAACTTAAAATAATTGATGTAAGCTGTGTAGAGTGAGATTGCTGGTGAGGAACGGCTATGGCAGATGTAGCAAATGGGAACCCTGCTGAGGGACTGTTGTTGTTGTCTGGGTATGGTTCAAAGGTTTAAATAGGATTAAGATATTGATGGTTAGTAACAGTAAAATAATCTTTATCTCTCCAGAACATTAGTGGTGCCACGGAGGAATACTGCATGGGTAAACACAAGCTTTCTGCAGTCTAAGTAGTCCAGCTTGAAGCTCACCCAGCCTAGCTGAGGATTTTCTCATTACTAACACTACACACCGCTTATTCTGCTGCACGCTTGCTAAGACCAGAGGCTGCAACGCCCATAAATTAGCTACTGGTTTGAAGGGCCTTGGTTGCTCTCTGTTCGTGCATGGGCAATTTAAAAAGACCTTTATTTAAAAAATAAATAGCGTAACTCTCTCTTCATAACGCTTCTCATCTGCAGCACTGTGAAGGTGAGGCTCCCAGACTCGCTGTGCATTGGTACTGATAATGGGGATGAACCGTGGGCGTCTGGTTAGGCAGTGGCTGTGAGTGCTTAGTGCCCTAGCAGTAAGTAAATACTAATAATTAAAAAAGGACAGGCTTTATGCTTACAAAAACTGTCATTTGCTGGAGGGACAATGTTAAAGTTATCTGATTTGTGTAGTGGGCAGTGGGCTTTTTTCTCCTATAAAAACAATAGTTTGAGTTAGAAAGCCTCCCAAACCACCCACTGTTACCCCAACAAGTCCTTTTCAAATTAATTTGCACTTGGTAGTATTTCGATAGATAGCACCGGGGCCACACAGTGTGTTTCTGAACAAGTGGTGAGGTTTGGAGGATGCTGGGGTTGCTACCAGGTCTCAGGATGCTGGCAGAGTGAAGGCCAGCTTCAAACAGTGTTTGCTGACAAGTGTGGTGGGTGAATTCCTGTGTGAGTGGGCACTAATGAATGTGAATGAAAGAGGAAGCGTTGGATCCTGTGCCTTGTTATGGGGTTTAGTGTGAAGCAGTTAGCTCTGGGCTCTGCTGCCTGCTGGCTGGGAGGTGGCAGAGCACCACAGGGCTCTCTGACCTGGCTGTGGAGGAAGGAAAAACCAGAGCGTGTGCCCCGCTGCAAGGTTTCCAGCCCAGTGGGCAGCCTGAAAAGGGATGAGTGATTCAAATGTGTGATGGAAACACTGCAGCTGCTCTGGGAAGGAAGTAGCGTGTGCAGGGTGTCTTGGGTGCCTAGTCTAGTTTTAGCCTTGTGTATTGCTCTTTTTTTTTTTTTTTTCAATCACCAAAAAATAAAAACAAAGAACTACCTCACACTGCTTTGGCACCTCTCCTTTCAGATGTTGCCAGCCTATGTTGGGCTGGGGCTTGGTCCAGCTTGGGAGGAAGGCCAGGCAAAACTGTCTTGCAAGTGGGGTTGTCTGGAATAGAGAAAAAACATGGCTGGTCAGGGACTCCACATGCTGAGATTTAAGCTTGCTTTTGGGCACCCCATGAGACATTGAAAAGCTCCTGCACATTGAACCCCCTCTCAGCAATGTCCCAGGGCTGATTTTGTCCCGCGGGTGTTATCAGGATAACCACAGGTGAAGCAGGGAAATAAGGCAGTGGCACGAGGCGCTTGGCTGTCTTGTGAGGCAGGCAATGAGCAGGCCGTGTAACTCGCCTGCAGAGCTTCACCTCTGCGGGGTGAACTTCCTCTGATCGCTTCAAAACTGTGCTGATGTTTTAACGTGGAGAACAAAATCAGCCCCAAATTCTGGCGCACAGAGACGAGAGAGGTTATTTTTAACAGTGTGGGAAGTGCAGTACTTACAAGGCTAATGCTACCTACAGTACATGCCTCGCATTTTACTCTGCAGAAGCAGAGCCCTCTCGGGTTACAGGGCTGGAGGGGAATAGCAAGCCCGTGTGCTAATAATTGCCGTGTTACTATTTTTAAAGTTCTGCCTGCATTGTTTGTATCATTGTTGCCCAGCAGTGCCTCCCCTTGCCAGGTTACTTGAGGCAATGTTGGGGTTTCCACTTCAGTGTCTGCATTGTTTTTCTTTCTCATTGTTTGCTTTTTTTAACCCCTTTATTTGTACATAAGTACAACTATGATCTTGTATTTATAATGATGATAATAATGATTATGATGATGAAAATAATAATAATAATAATGATGATGATGATGATAATAATAATAATAATAATAATAATAATAATCTTGAAGCCAGGAGAATGATTTTGACAGTTTTTGTTGTCTGGCTCAAATCAGAGTTGCACTTGTAAAGGCATGGGGCATCCTCCACCTGCCTTTGTAGCCTCAGCCTAGCAGGAGATGGCTTCTGTGACTCCCAGCCTGGTGGCCCAATGTTTTCCTCATCCGCTTCCATGCTCAAGCAGTGCTGGATGCACACGGGTGGGCTGACAGGTCATGTCATGGTAGGCACCAAGCTCCCATTTGGAGGCCACCTGGCTGCTGCCACGATGATGTGGCAACAAGCAGGCATCCCCCCTGTGTGGAGCAAGCACAGCAGGGGGAACAGGGTGGGCAGCTCGTTTTCTGCATCATGACTGCATGGCTGATGGACATCTGCAGAGGCAGAAGGTGCGAGAGAGGCAGCAGCAGTGGAGGAGAGGGGAGGTGGGCTGGGAGGTCTCTGCACCAGGAGCCACCTCTGTCGTCCCCTGCCATTGCCTCCACGTGCCTGGGCAGAGGTGGGATAGCAAGGTTAAACCAATACACCACTGCAGGCTTCATTTTTATTCCAGGCATTTTTAAATTATTAATGTGCAGCACAGCAGTGACTGAACCTGCTGTTAGGCAGTGCCTCTCAAGCCCATTTTAAATATTTAGTACTTACTAGCAGAGCAAAGCAAACAAACAAGAGTAACTAAAGTGTTGAGGACACACTTAATTTTTAAGCAGTTAAAAGCAAATTAGGCAGCACTTAGCAGGCGACAACACCAAGGCCGTCAGCTGCGTCAGCTGCGTGCAGAGCAGGAGCCCCTCTGGCTGCTCCCAGCATCGTGCAGGGCTGCCTGACCAGTGCTGTGCTGGTGCAGCTGGGGCGTGATCCTGCAAGGTCAGCTCTTCTGCGGCCCCTGCTTATCTTCTCCGTCCACCGCTGCAGGAGCTGGGCACTTTCTCCTACCTTTCTTCCTTTCTAGAGGTGCATCTGCTGTGGGCAGACCTCACTGTGGTATGTTCTTGCAGCTCTGGGCTGCAGCCACTTCTCTGCCAGCTTCCCTCCATCGTCCCTTCTGCATGGGTGGATGTTGCCAAAGTGAATGGATAGTGAGCGCACTTCCCCCATGGCAAAGAGAAGAGAAACCATTCCTCAGCAGCTTGCTTATTCCAAAGTCCTGCTTATCTGATCAATACTCGTGGCACCCTATATACTTTTGGGGCATCTCACAGAATCACAGACCTAGAATCACAGAATGTCCCAAGCTGGAAGGGACCCACAAGGACCATTGAACCCAACTCCTGGCTCTGCACAGGACCACCCCAAAATCAGACCATATGTCTGAGAGCATTGTCCAAATGCTGATTTGTTCTTCTCCCTGCTGCCACCACTGGTGGCACCCACAAGATGACGGCCAGGAGGAATGGGCCTGGCTCCACCTTGCCTGTCTGGGGCCTGCTCCCTCCGCATGGCAGCGGCAGGCTGCTGAGCGGCTCCACATGGTGCTGGAACAAAAGGGGTGTCAGTGAGAGCTGGGTCTGGCCAGAAGAGGTGTGTCTGAGAGGAAGGATGGGGATGGGAACTGACTGCCTGTAAGAGCAAGAGGCAGGGACCAGTGTGTATATGGGGGAGAGGGAAGGAAAGGAAGGGAGAGAGAGCCTGAGGTCAAGGGAGAAAAAGTGGAACAGAGTACAGGCAAGTGATATTGATTACAAAAAAAGACCAAATACAAAACTCAGCAAGAGCTAGAGAGCATAAAATGAGGTGTGGCTGGGGAAAACGAAGATTAAAACCATGGAAATAAAGTAAGAACAACTGGGGCTGCAGGAAGAATGGAAGGTAATACATTAACCAGAGAAAGTGCACACTCATTTACTAGCATACATCAATGCTGTATTTATTTGGGTAACAGATACACATCAGGGTTGCTTAAAGGGATTGCATGGTTCTGGCCAGAGCATAGTGGGTGCTGGCTGTAATATGTGACAATAAATAATTATAGGTGGGAAGGGCAGAGTTACTAATTATTAAGATCTCCTGACCCTGCTCATTATTAGATGCTAGTTTCAGTTACTTACAACTGAGAAACTGTGACGGGCTGTAATTTTCCATACCAGCTGTCTGCCTCAGGCTGACTCTTTGACAAACAGCATTTCAAGAAGACTGGGACAAGACTGGGAGCTCACAGCAGATGGAAACAGGGACACGCAACAAAAGAGGAGCATAGAGGCATCACTTGTGTGCCTACGGACAAAATCCAGAAGACCAAAGCCCAGCTGGAGCACAGACTTGAGGCAGACTTTAAGGGTATCAAGAAGAAATCCTGCATGTATGTTAGCTGATGAAAGAAATTCAGGGTAAGCATGGGTCTGCTCACAGATCAAGGAGACAACTTAGCCATGCCTGACACAAAAAAGGCTGAGGTGCTCAAGTACTTGAAGAACAGTCACAATGATGATGGACCCAAATAACCCCTTCAGTAGTGCCGGCCCATATGTCAAGGGGCAATGCCCAAAGGCTGTTCAGGAGGAACACGAGGAACAAAGGGTGTACTGCAGCACAGGAAAGGTGTCAGAGAGGCTCTGGAGGTTTTTAGGACTGAGTTGGACAAAGCCGTAACTGACCTGACATGGCTTTGCTGATAGCCCTGCTGTGCGTGGAAGGGCGGCCCTTGGTTCTGTGGTGCTGCTGGGGAAGTTGTTGCTGTGACTATGCCAGAAAAAGTCCAGTTACTTTCTGAAGTCACTTTTTGAAGTGACTTTTTGATATGAGAAGCTTTAGTATCTCTGTACTTTAGTTTTGAGAGGTGAAAGAGGTTGAATATTATTAGGTCATGGGTAGAGGACCTAAAGCACTGTCCGTCAAAGCATCCTTTACTCCTTAGCCCACAATGAGAACCCAAGGTTTTCTCTTTTGCTGTTGCTCTGCAGTCAGGAGACATATTCGAAAGCCTCGGGCAAAATGTCCCATCTTCCCTGGTGCCAGAGATGATGAAAGAGACAAACCAGGCTCAGCTCCTGGTCATGCTTCTGTTTCGAGTGGCAGCAGTCAACTGTGTGTCTGAACTCCGGGTGTGTTTGCACATATTTTTCCCCATTTGACATGTGAATGTTTCTGGCATGCTCAGAGATCTGATAGGGATGACAGCTTTGAAAAGAACTGGGGGAAACGACTAATTCTTTCTTCAGAGCAGGTATTAAATTTTGCTCCATACAGAAATACAAAGGGAAAAAGAAAATATTGTGTAACTGCTAAGTGAAACCCAACTGCTTCATACAGTAAAGAAGGCAAGAGTCCTTTGGAGAAAAAATAAAATAAAATAGGACATTACAAAGGCCATATAGTAAAAGAGAGGACCTGACAGAACTGATGTCTTTTTCTCCCCAGGATTTGCTCACCCGTGCTGTGCTCAGTTCAGGCAGGTCTGAGCAGGAAGAATCACTGCAGCAGCCTTTCAGGCCAGGGTCTCCTTTGCCCCTGACACCAGGGTAGGAGCATCTTGCTAGCAATGTGGTGATACGTTTGTAGCCCCCCATTTGTGAGGGATGTGAGGGATGGGTGCAGGCAGACAGCCACTGTAGCTGTGTATCTTATCTGCAGGGCAGCAACGTTAGTGATGTGATGGCAGGAATTTGGAGATGTGGTTTTTAATGCAATGTGTGTGAGACACCACGCCCAGCAGAACAAGCTCCAGACCTGGAGCCCAGCATGGAGTAGGGAATACAAACTTGCTGCCTCCCAGGGTACCACTCATGCCCTCCCCACAGGAAGGAAAATCCTTACATGGCTTTAAAGTCAGGAACCAGGGCAGGAGAAAATGTGCAGTTCTTGCAGAGCAGGATTATCACCAGGGGAGTCCCTGGGAATCTGTGCAGTTCAGCAGATTTATATATGACCTGGAAAAGGGGGTCAGCTACGAGCTGCCAAAATTTGCTGATGGCCTTAAATTGTTCCTATTAGTAAGGAGCAGGAAACCAGCTGTGAAGACATGCAGAAGTGGGTGCCAAAAGTTCAAGGGATACTGAAGTTCAAAGGAGGGACACTCACTGGTTATTAAAAAAAGATAAACTCTGATTCAGGACAAGCCAGAGTTGGAATAAGTGAAGAGGTGGGACTGTCTTAGAGGGAAGAATCATACGTGCTTATCTTATTCCCATTTTTTCCCTAGGCATTTGCTTATGGTGACTGGCAGGGAGGGGTGCCTGGGCCAGGTGGCTGTTGGTCTGATCCCATTGGTCAGATCTTACCTCCTGGAGAGAGCAGGTCAAGGGGCAGGGCTGTAGGCCTGTTACAACTTGCCATCTCACTGTAGTGTATGAAATTCTCATGCAAAACGATGAAGTGGTTAAAGAACTATGCTAAATATTTTTAAAAATATGTTTTGAATTGCTATTTTGAAATGTCTTAACTAGGTCTAAATGTTCCTGATCCTCTTAAAAGCACATCTGTGTC